AGCAACGATACTCAAATATGTTGTGCTGTTTAAATGATGCTCTACCAAGGGACCCAGCATGTACCAAGAAGATATCCTCCACATCACTACACCAGCAGCAGCCTGAATTGTTAATACAAGGCAGGATGGAGCAATGCTTTCATGTTGTATATGTCAAATTCTGACCCAAACATCTAAATGTTGCAGCAGAGATTTGAACTCATTAAACTATTTGATATTTTCCAATCGTCCATCTTTCAATTTTAGTGAACCAGTGTCCACTGTAGGCTCAGTTACTGTTCTCAGCTGACACGTGTTTCAAGGTTTGCTGCATTGTGCATTTAGAGAGTCTCTATTTCACACTGTGGTTGTGATTAATATTTTTTTTAAACTTTTTTTTAGCAGCTATTTTATTGACTGGGTATTCTACTGATTATTCTATTGAATGAGCAAGTAATTGGATAAGAAATCCTTTTCCTTATTAAAGAGCAAGTGTAAATATACAGTGAACAAGTAATTACTTTTCTTTTTAGAAAACTCTAAATGCTTGTTGGTTAAATTGCATACAATAATAATGGAATTGTCAAAACTAAACACATTTAGTGCAGTTAAGTGCCATATTACATTCTGGGTTCTGAAAGCAAACAACTAAACAACTGATTACTTGTACTTACTATGTACAAGTTAATACTAAGGCGTTAATTATACTAATATTAACATTGCTATTACATTAATATTAGTACATTAACATTGCATATTTAACTTTCAGAACTACAAGTTTTTAAGCTTAACTACATAACGTTAGTGTTTGCTGTCTTCTTGGAAGACTTTGTAGGAGGCAGAAATGAGTGGGCAGGAAGGTTGAAACAAGAGTCCACACATCCAGTTTTATCACATGTTTTTCATCTGGGTGCTTTTACAAAGCTATCATGTAATGAAATTTATTCATGAGAAACGCACCTCCTTAAATGGTGTATTTCTCACGAGGGGTACATGTTACTGGTCTGTGTTACGATCATAATGATAACATAAATGATGCTCGGGCTTTCACAAATTGACAACAGCACTTTATTTAAAAATTTGTTAACTCTTATTTGGTGAGTCATAATTAAGGTATGTTCTTTACTTCATATTGATTTATGCTAAATGTTAATCTTAATGTCATCTTGCGTCTGGTCTCCTCGGTGGACTAGATGCACACACTGGATGTTTTCTGCTGATATGCTGAGGCATTGACGCTGCGCTATTGTTGTTGTTTAGGTCGGTTTTATAATAGACACACTATACACAATTTTTTAAATTATATATCTTTTCCAGGTTGAGATGATCCTAAACTTTGGAAACTTTCTGTTATTTTCTCAGGCCTACATCCTCTCTCTCTCTCTCTATTTTGCAGTCTGTGCCACATCTCACGTCTTCTTCACGTCACGTATTCACAGCATGAGCACATTTTGCGACAGTAATAATCATCAGTGCAAAACACTGAGCTCTTTATAGTTATTTGAATTAAATTAAGCTTAATTGCAAAGAATTTGCACTGATGATTTTTAGTAATCAAGTTTCTCTAGGAATCGTCTCACTGTCGTAGCTCTGTCAGTGTGAACCCGTCCTGCTGGTCCTCTCTTACTTCTACCATCAACCAAGCATCATCGCCTGCTCACAGGATGTTTCCTCTTTCTCTCATCATTGTCTTTAAAATCTTGAAATGGTCGTGAGTAAAAGATCAGCAGTTTCTGAAACACTCAGCCCAGCCTGTGTGGTACCAACAGCCATGCTAGGTTCAAAGCATGAGAAGATTAAAACACCTTTCCTCCTTCTCTCTGATGCTCAGTTTAACTTTAACAGATTCTCTGACCATGTATACCTACATGCATTGAGTTTCAGCCATGTGGTTGGCTGGCTGATTAGCTATTTGCCTTAACGAGCAGTTAAACAGGTTTATGAAGCGGCCATTAAATGCATATATCTTTTTTTCTTTTTTTCTTCTTCTTACTGCCCAAATACAACATTTTCTAGTATAGCCAGACTGAGCAAGGGGATATATTACTCATTTTTCAAAATAATAACGTCTTACTCTTTGATGCATAGAACAAATAATTAAAACACATTCTGCAACTAGAAAAACAAAAAAACAACAACATTTGCATGATGTAATGCAAGGCAACACAAGGGCACAACAGTGTTTTTAAATGTGCTGAAATGCATTGCACTGGGATTTCTGTATTGTGGTCAATTTGTGCAACAACATGGCCTTCTTGGTTTTCACAAATAAAATAGAAAATTTCACAGCTAAGTTATTTTAAGCCTCCGAGCAGCGCGGTGTGTCCTCATGCTGTTGTGGGACGCTTCCAGTCTGACAACAGCAGACTGTGGTGACCAGACTCCCCTGTACGCCCTCATTAAAAGGTCATGACATTTTCTTATACATTTCTCTGCATTACTGTCCAATTCTGTGCTATGCAAGATGTAAAAAGGGGAAACCAGGATAAATCTGTGTGACTTTATTAATACACACAGTATTCTTGTATCCTCTCAGACGTGGAACACTGTATTACCTTGTCACTCTACCTGTTCCCTCTCTTTTCCAAATCCAGCTCTTGGTCGTTCACTCCCAAGTGGCTAACAATTGAGAAACCGTGTGTTGACAGCTGTCCAGTCGTGTGGAGTCACTGCTATGAAAAATGCTCTCAGTTTAATGGGAAAGTGTGAAGTATGAAATCTCCCGGGGAGGCTGCTCTGTGACGACATCGGTACCCCTGGTGGCGGTGGGCATGTCGTGTTCGACACTCAGCCGTTCATGTAGAACATGATGGATTTCAAGTTGCTGCGTTTTGGGTTGCGACTTGAGAGGACAGGAAGTGAATAAAACTGTAAAAGGAGTAGAGAAATAAATTATCATTATGGCACCTGCTGACAATCATAGGCTGGCAAGTCATTTGGCTGACAAGTGTATTGGTGGTTGGCGGGTATGGCACGGTGTCATGGGACTGGGACGGTGATGAATTGTGTACCCATCAGAGCATGTGCTCATTTGTAACAGACAACGCAGCAGAGCACTGGTGCGTTTCACTTTACAGCACGTTGTTTGCTGTTTCGACTTTGTTTAGTTCCACAAACCTAATCTGTTGCACGGTTGTAGCGGCAGCCTGCTCCGTATCACCTCAGAGTTTCACTGCAAGGTCTGTGTGAAAAATAAGATCTTCCTCATTAACTTGTTAGTTATGACAGTGCTGACACTGTTCCCATTTCTTATGTCTAATGATTAAAAGGATTAATTCTACTCCAACATAATACTGTCTGATACTGTATCATTACTTTTCATAGAAAATGGGCCTCTGGTAATAATGCCTGAAGTCACAGAATGGCTATCACTGAGGCCAAGTTTTAGTGTCATGAATGATTTTGGAACGCTCTCAGCTGTCCAGCTCCAGTGGATGTTCATTGTAAAGCTGTTATTCACAGTGACTCATGCCCGTAATGACTATAATTATAGGCTGCAAAGCCCCCACAGGTAAGGAGTGTGCCCTTTCCACAAATTATAGGTTGCTATTCAAAATGATTAAAGATTATGAATGTGATAAAGTGCAGAGACAGAAGTGCTGTCACAGAGTAGTGGAGGCTTCTTTTTAAAGCTCCCAGCAGCAACCAAGCATTTAACTTCAACGCAGGGCAAAAATTTGTGTGTCACTTGAGATACCCTTGGAAGTTACTAATGCAAGTTTTATAAACAACACTGTCCAGCATCTTGCGCACACGTCCTGGCTGTATGAAAAAGGTTGTCCTTGCTGTCAGGCGTTGATTAGCCGTCCAGCGTGATGTGGACATGGCTGTCTCCCTGTCTCAGTGGGAGGTCGGCAGGACTTGATGGATGTCTCTCTTTTGAGATTGCCTCGTACCACGGAGAGAGAGGAGGACCTGGCTCCTGTTATCTATTCATGCTGTGTTCCTTTCTGCCGGTCTAAAATGGAGCAGGACCTCCCTCCACAGCACGGCTCCATCATTTCTGGATAGAGCTAAGCAGTGCATAAAAGAGAATAAGAAAAAGCACCTCTTCCGTTTCTGATCCCCAAGCACCTTTTAAGCAAAAATCCACTTAGAACTTGCAAAAGCAGGGAGGGGGAAATCTCTTGATTTCCTACATGAGCGCTGAATTTGAGGATAATCTTCACAGGACGTCGTTGTGGGATGTCTGTCTCACAGTGCCGTTCTAAAAATACACTCAGAGACGTGGCTAAACAGAGAAACGTACATATACACTCACATATTCATTTGCAGCAAAGAAAAAAAAAGAAAAAGGCACCCGGAGACACTTCCATACGTGAGCACCAGCCCCCTCACTGACTCATTTTGTTTAGCACAAGCTCAATAAAACTGCAGGACAGTGAATCCTATTAGATGTGAGAAAACAAAGACGGAAACGACCAATTCTCTTGCCCCCGCTACCTTTCCATATTCCTTCATGATTCTGGCAAGACCACAGGGAGATTGATGTGTCTGTCTTTTTCATACCTTCTGTGACTGCTCAGCGAGGCACCAGGCTCTATGGAACTAGCCAAATTCCTAAATGATGAATGTACACTAGTGCGTCCACTGGGACAAGAGACGAATCTAATATCAGCCAAGAGAGGAGGTTGATATTGAAAATCATCTGGAATTTTGCCTGGCCCGATATTGGAAATCTTTATTCTAATTGCATGAATGAATTGAATGTTCTGTTCTGATAAATCCACTCTGCCACCAAGGGAATTGTATAAATGAAGCATCACAGATTCGTTTGTGGTTACTGCATGTGTGTGTGTGTGTGTGTTTGTTTGTGTGCCCGTAAGTCATTTTCATACTCGTCTTGCGCCATTGTTGATTGCTTGTTTACTCAAGCAAAAACTCGGTTCACAATGTTAACATATGATATAAATGAAACTCTGACAAGATCTTCCACCCACATATTACAACATATCCAACAGTCAAAAGAGGGACATTTTTCAAAATATCAGTTACCATATGGAGGAATAGGAGACAGCATGTCAGTATAGAAAACCATTTTTATTTCTCATAAGGCTGTCCTGTAATGTACTTATATCTACTGGGGGATAACTATGTTTCTCCATTTGGACTAATACTTTCTCACTGTCATTTGGAACAAATCCTCTCTCTCTGGTGTGCGAGAGGGAGATCTGCATGACAAACACTCTTGCCCATGACCACTCTCCACAGCAGAAAGTGACACTAACCGTCTGACTAACTGATCCGAGTTTTCCTTGCTGCTCTTCTGAGTCGCTACCACGTCTGAGTGGAAAGGTCGAGGGTTGGAGTTAGTGCTGCTTTCTTTAGTGAGGCAGTTCTATACAGTGTTTTTCCTCATGTTTTACAGAAACTACAAGCATTTTTCTGGCTTAACCAACAACATTGCATTGAATGACAAAAGTGACCAGAACTTATTTGTATGACTTTAGTTGTCTTTTTCCAATGCAAGCACACACTGCAAAGCAGTCCTATACACACCGTATTGGGACAACAGCCACTGGATTATGCTCAGGGGCTAATCAGTATTCCACCATGGGGATCCTAATAGAGTCTTAAATATATTTTTCATCTTCTCGGATCTGTCATCTTATATGTAATGTATTTATATATGTGTGTATATACACAAAGTATCTTACAAAGAAAAGAAGTGCTCAGAAATTTACATTGGGCATGCCCACCAAGAAAAGTCAAAATGTCCATCATGGAGGATGAAGCAGAGGCCGTGAACCTAAAGCCTCTCAAAGATTCTTCATTATCTTATTATAGGCTGCTAGTGGTTGCAGTTACTGAAAATCCAGCGTTTGTCGGCTACATCTCCCCCGTGCAGCCACAGCAAAGCCACTCGGCTAAGGTAGAGAGTCAAATACAAATGCCTTCCGCACAGAAATAAAAGGATATCAAGGTAATTTCCCCTCCGTCGTGCCCTCAGTTCTGTGGGTCCCATGTTCAGGTCTATGTAAGCTCCTCAACCGCTTCACCTTCAGGCAGGCTCGGAGAATGTCTTCAAATAATGTTTTAACAACCCCTAAATAACCCCTGCTAAGCTGTTTCAGTTTTTGAGTGGGGAGACGGTGTGAGGGAAACGGAGAGAGAGTAGGTCGGAAACTGGCCACAGCTGTGCGGAAGAGGAGAGTCACCAACATGGGGCTCATTGATCAAACAGGGGATTAGTCTGGTTTCAAATCCTCGGCACCACGCGAGCAAAGCTGTTTTATCTGGGTGGATATCCTTTCTGTGGTCCCAGGTAATCCAGTCAGTAGCCGTGGATGTAATAGTTTTAGTCCATTCGGTGGGAAGAGAAAGGGTACATGAGGGGAAGAGCCTGGCGCTCAGCCCTGCAAAGGGAGCTCTCTGTTAGGTCCTCGGATGAATCTGCAACACAGAGGAGGAAGAGGAGAAAAGAGAAAACACACATACACTTAGATAGAACAAAAGCATACAAGTGTGCGAGGATTAGACCCCGAGGAATTGCTTCGTTCGCGTGTTTCAAAAAACAAGGGGAGTCTTTTGAACTGTGGAGGCTTTGTACAGCCCCGTCTCACCTCCTGGTTCATGCTGCTACTAAAAACAGACAGCTTATATGTGTGGAAGCCTCGCCGAACATGGAGGTGTGTTTGGCATTTATAGGTATACGGGAATATATCAGAAAAGCTCTTTGCACAAAAAAAATACAAATCTGGTGTGTTTCCATGCTGTGTATGTCTGGTTCATAAATTGACACTGGCATATTTCTGATTTTATCTCAGACTGTTTCAGCATTTCTCCCCACGAGCCTGGTCAACCACCTTCATTAAGACCTTCACACTAAACCAGCCAATCACAGCCGAGGATTTTCCTCCAACCTGATAAAATGACTTGGCTTTGCTAAATGGAATCAGGGCCCCCGCTGTGGAGTCTGAGCTGTCTCTCCGTGACTCTGGTTCAGGGACTCTTATTCAGCCTCAGTTGCAGACCTGGACACATTTCAATAGTGCATTGTACAGCTCTGAGACTGCTATTGAATGTCCTGCTTTTCAGCATCCTGCTCAACCTGAAGCTCAATAAAAAACTGTGCATCTGATGTCTGCAACAGTTAAAGCCGTCGAGTTCCTCGCCCTCTTTTAACTGCGTACGCAACAAAAGCATGTAAGTGTTTCATCACATTTTCCAGATATTATACTGCTCTAAGATTTTACAGTGAATAAATCTGAAGTTCCTTGCACACTGTGGGGCCAATTAGAAATCCCATAATCCTGCTCAACAAAGAAATACAGTCATGACATTTGCAGCAGGCTTGGCAGGTGGTAGCCAGGTGTGCAGGCATGATTGCAGAGGGTTCTGCACGGGACCCTGTAAGCTGAAGCACAAAGTCTCAGAGCGCCGGTATTTTGGACATGCTACTAACTGAGCCAAATGATTGTTTTTTTTAAACAATTTTGCCTGCTGGTAGAGTTCTGTGCACCTGTACTCACCCACCAGACTTTAATTTAGTGTTGACATTGAGGGGGTCTAAAACTGGAACATACAGTGTTTGTTTTGACTGAATAATTTGATGCACTGCAAAAGTCATAATTTTATTAAGGCATTTATTCTATTTTGGAGTCATAAACCTATTTCTTTGCACTTACTTAGTTGGTTGGCTTTTTTTTCTTTTTTTTTTTTTTTTTTTTTTAATAAAGCCTATTTAAAGAACTCCTAAGAGTCAAATGTCATTTGCAGCTGTCTTCTTCCCCTTCATCAAGTGAATATGTTTTCAGTGTTCTTTGTCTATTTGTTCGTTAGCAGGATCTTCAGCATCTCCTGTTTAAGGATTTCAAACACAATTAGTTTCTTTGCAAATGTGTGAACATGTTGTTGGATTTTCATGTATATTTTTGTAGGGTTGTAACTCTACTTTGAAATCAGACAAATTATTCTTCAGAATTAATTAAGTAATAAATTAATAATGCTGTAGGATCTTAGCTTTAATATTCATTATAGTTGAGTAAAGTTGTATTTGTTATAAAGTTTTGTAAAGTTTTAATCCTTAATATTTGAATAACTCAGGTAAATTCACATCATAAATTGCACTGTAGGGTCTTAACTTCAATATTTAAACTTGCTGGGTTCATTTGAAATGTCAATCTTATTTTTCTACTAGAAAGCTCTTTAGCGTAATGGTTGTTGCTTTAACTGTGTTATATAAATACTGGACTTGACCAGAATCCAGCAGCTGATTCTGAAAGTTTAACATATTCACTATTTTGAAACAACTTTCCTCTGTTATGCCGTTTACACCAGGTATAGTGAAAAATCTGCATTTGGATAATTTATCTGGACAAGTGAGAATACATGTCAATGCAAGGTGTAAATGCACATATAATTCATTTAAAGCAGATGCCATACAAATTGTCTGACAGAGGCATGTTAAGGACACAGCGTACTGCTGTCATGTATTCACATTACTCACGACATCATAGCGGATTAAGAAACTGCACTGCAGCTGCTGTTCTACATGCTTTAAATAGCTGCTCAGAGTTAACCTTTTTCTTCTAGGTTTTGTCACAGCATCTTTCTCTGGGAAGATTTGCTCTTTTCTTCTGTGATCCCTAAACACAGTAATCCTCTGGGCTCATCTGTCCAGCATTTGCATCTGTATCATCTGTACTGTCTGGCGACATATCAGAATTACCTTTTGCCAGAACAAGAGCAGTAACAGGTTGGACATCGAGGATCACTCTTTATCTCGGACGCAGTGCACCAGAGATTTGTTAGCGGTAGAAGAGGGGTTGTATGCAAATGTTGTCATTTCAACCCACATGCGAGTGAGTGTGACAAAAAGCGTCTCCTGTTCCCTTTTTGTCCTCTTCAAATGAACAGTGTAGCAGGTAGCAGCGGATTGCTCAAGGATTTCCTGCCGGCCTGGAAACTTAGCTGTCTGCATTCTAATTTGTTGGCCGCATTAAATTGCAATTTACTCAGACTTCAGTTAGCAAAAAGACCCAAGGACAATTGCCTTAGCAAAAGAATTTAGTGCAAACATAGCGTACCCTTTCCCCCTTTCTTGTTTAGTGCTGAACAAATCAATCATGCCTGCTGAGAAACCTCTTCAAACAGCACTAAAGAGCACCCTCTAAAAACAGAAGACTCCAAACAACAAAATACATCAAGATCCATTTAATGTGACATTGACAATGGAGAAAGAAAAGAAAACGAGTATAAATTAATCAGTAGCACTTGGAATGAACTCCTTCCTCCTAAACCTGTATAAATATGTCATAAGGATGACAATTCGGGCACTTTAGGCAGTCTGGACTGCATCTTTCAGCTCACAGTCTCAAACTTTTATCAAAAGACCTTTATTATTTATCTCAGGTAATACACTGTCTATCATTTGTGTAAAATGTTCTGTTTGTCACCATGATGACATTATACAGGGTTGTGAAGGAGAAGGAGAGGTGTTGCTAATACAGATGTAGACAGATCATTCCAGGTGAAGCTCAGTTGTATGGAGCATGGCCGTTTGGAGTTCATTTTGATCAACTGCAGAGTGCGGTCTCCCGATTTGACAAATTAGATGGTGATAGATCTGCTGGCAGGTCACTTTTGCTCTCGGACTGTCTCACAGATGGGCTACATCCTGTCACAGTGTGTTATTTTGCTTGAAAAAGTGCCCTCTGCTCCTTTTAATAAGGGACATGTGGCTCTCTGAACAGCAAGTAAATCATGTCAGACTAACTGGAGAGGAAACACACTGTAGAGTGTGAAAGACAGTGGTGTGAAAGGACCGATTCACTTAAATTGAATTCTTTGCGCTCGCTAATTTGAAGAATTACACACTCAGTAGTGGCGTCGCTGTATTCTTATACAGTTAAAACGACTACTGTACATGAATAAGTGGTTATGCTGCAGTGTGAAATTACTAAAAAGCCATTAATATTCATGGAATGCCTGATGAGACTTATATTAGGTACGTATCACAGCCCTGCCTTGATACTGTCACCATATTAACATTGACTCTAATACACTAACACTGAGGTTATCAAATAAACATTTGTTTCACTATCGTCAAACGGGGAGAGGAATGAGTAAGAGAAGAGATGTTTTTATTACAGCCTCTCATTCTGCCTGTCTCTCTTAAGGTGTATAATTGTTTGGAGGGAGCAGAAATGGATTGATCTATTTAGCCAGTGGAGCGGGTAATGCAGATATATGGTGGGCGAGTATTTTGGAAGGTGCTCCCCAGCCTCGCTCTCACTGTGACTTCCACAAACAAAAGGGCCTGCCTTGTCTGCTGATACAGAACAGGCAATGAAGGGCTCCCCCTCTGAAAGACATAAAGAAAGAAAAGAAGAAACACGGGTGTCAGGAACTGGCTTTGCTCGGCTTCGTACTTTTCATGCCAATTTTTGTCAACGATGCTGATGAAGTCTGTATGCGGCTGATCATGTACGCATGCCTGCCTCATTACGTTTCACTGACACTTTTCGGAGCAAAATAAAAACCTGCAGGTGAAATAAAATGGCTGAGATTTTTTTTTTTCTTCTCATTTTATTTTTTTTTAAAGTGCTGTGTTGTGGGTTTGCTGGCTTGTGACAGAACAAATACAAATGAGGCAATTTGGCCTGAGAGGCAGGTGAATGAGGAATGTTGATTAAAAAAGAGAGCAGAGTGCAGGATAAAAGGCCTTTCATGTAGCCTGTGGGCTATGCTGTGTGCTGATAGCTGCTTCAACAGGACCCTCAGAGGGGGGATCAGGATATCAAGTGGCCTCTGATAAGAAGCCACACAACGAACAGGCAAGAGGTCTGCCCAGCAGTCGCACTTGTCCACACATGAGTGTATCCGTACAAACACAGACATATCAAACACATCAAACATGTGCGTGCATACACAACTACGAGCACACACAGACAGGAGCAAGTAGCATGTCACAGATTAGTGCCTAATGGGATTGGCAGACTGGTGTAGGGCACTGTAATCAAACCCACACAGTGGCCGATAGCAAAAAACAGGACACAGAACAAAGGAGGCAATGAAAGGCAGAGGGACTCATCTTGCCATTACACACTGATCACAGACAGCAGGGTTCTGCTGAGGGGGGAACCCGGCTCTGTGTGTGTGTTTCTACAGTAGTCCCGTGAAGGCGCAGCTATCATGTGTTTACCCACCGGTACCCTACACATCTTAGCGATACACGTGCCACCGTTTCTGTGAAAAATGCAGCAACTTACTTATTATTTATGCGTGCGCTGCCTGTGCGATGTGATAAATATTTACAGTGGGTGGCGGTGCGATCAGTATTTGTGTCACGCCTGCCTAATCATGCACAGCATGTAAACACACACTTGATTATTTCGCACAGAGTATTTGGGTTAATGGGAAGTCATTGAACATGAGTCGGTCCCACTCCTACTGGCCGACACTCAAGCGCATACAGTGATGTGTGTGAGAGAGAGACGGGAAAACAAAAAGAAAGAACAGCTTAAGAAAAAGACTAACCTTTACAGAAGCAAGAATGCAGCTCAATTTCTGTTGACGCATCCTCTGCATTTTGCTTCCGGAAGCTAAAAAGGGGAGTATGGCTGGGTGTTCTGCAAAGAGAGGGTCAAGAAAAAAGGACACGTGTGTATTGGATAGAAAAGCAGCTTCAGGCCAGACCTTTTGGCCCTTTTTGGTTTCGATATGAGACCAAAGTCATTTTACTGTTTTGTTTTTTTCTTCTTCTGTGTGCAGAAATTTACAATCTTGATCTCAAGAGAATTAGAAAAAAAATATCTAAAGATGCATAAGACAATCATCATTTCAACTTATTTCAAATTGTGCAAAGGACTGAATTGAGAATTGGAGATGCATTCTTTAGAGTGAACCAAACACTGCATCTTACCTTGACGGGCTTTGCAAGACCCCATTCCATCAACTTCTTTGGGAAATTTTTTAAGCCTGTGGTGGCTGAGAGGGGCCCCTAGTGAAAGCTTTATGTCTATCTGCTGGTATATAAATCTACAGAACAACCTTGGGAAGCCCCATGCGGTCTAACCTTCACTGACTGCTCCCTGTTTCCCTACCATCACATTAGTCTGCTTCTATTCAAAGTCATTGTCACCAGGCGCTAGAAGGGTGGGAGGGGGGTCAATTAAGTGAATACAAATCAGCTGATCAACCTGTCACACAGTGCTGGACTGCAGGCTTCCAGGACTTAACTCCCTTCATTATTTTTGCATGCCGCATTCGGAGTCGGTTTACAGAGCCGAAAGGCAGTGGAGAAACAGAGTGGCCGTTAACTTTGTATCTGAGAGGAGTGTGGCCTGAGGCAGAGCCCACCTGTTTGTTTACTGCCGGTCTTATTTTTATCCTTTACTACTACTTTAGATACTTTTGCCTCCACCAAACAGATTCAACCTTGTTATACGGAGGGCACACACGTGACTTCTGATTAATCTCTGTACAGTGCGTCTCGTGCACATCCTTTCCACATACAGGTTTGATGTTTGTGTCATTGTTCAACGGCAGCAGAAGCAGGCAGTTGACAAATTGTTAAAGCAGTTAACTGAAGCATTCTTCTTGTTATCTGTAGTGATGTCTTTATTTCAAGAAAAATAACAATTTCACATGACATTTGTCTGGAATATAGGGAATGTGGAAATAATTTGACAGCATCGTGGTGAACATGTGTGTAAATGTGAGCATGTTTGGGCTTAAAAGTGCGCAAGCAGTACATACACAACAAGCATGTATTGTATATGTACAAGTGCATCTATGTATTGTGACTGCAGATGTGTGCATGCAGGTAAATGCATTTGCGCTCCAGTGTGTGCGGAGTCTCACCCTTGTGGTCTTGATTTTGTTCCCGGAGGAGCACATCCATCCAGAGTTGTCAGGCAGAGTCTTACACTCTTCTCCCTCCAGACACGGTTCCATCTCACACCACCATTTCCCAATTACAATGGACGCTGCAGGAAGGCGAGCACAGGTTCACGACAAAGGTAAGCACCAAGTTGAAGAATGAAAATAATCAAATTCAGTAGATAAAAATGAAACAAAAAAAACAGTGTCAAAAGATTTAATTAAATGAACCGTGAATGCAAAAATAAATGATAATGACATACGGTGTAAAAACATAAGTAGGGTTTAGAATGTAGGCAGAAACACACATGCAGAAACCTCCCACACAAACACATTTTGTGTACATATATTCCAGCACACTTGCATATGAGCGCACATAGACAAGCACCCACACACTATATTATGAGCATCTCCAGAGGAACACCCAGCCATGTCTCTAAATGAATGTTTTTCCTCCTCTTCAGGCTCAGAGCAACTGTAGCGTTACTGCACGGGTACTTTTGCTGTTGACAATAATGTCTTATACCAATAGAAATTAATCATTATTTTGTTTTGATATAGCTACATTGCATGTAGGGGAGCAATCTCAATTTTAATCAAAACTAATTGCCTCTCATTAACATCGACTAAATTCTTCCTCCAGCTATTTGACAAAAACAAATATGTTCTCATCTTCTCATCAAGATATCTCTCTCTCTCTCTCTCTCTCCCTCCCTCCTTCTCTCATTATTCGTGTCTCTGGGTGCGTGTCTGTATGTGCATGTATGTGTGTTCTTAAAAAAGAAAAAAAATCTAAAAATAAGCTGGAGACATTAAAGGATGGCAGAAAACACCTTTGATGATGTGTGAGCCGGCCCTTGAGAAATACTCTTTGCATCATCCGGAAGGATATTAAATAAATATACTTTGTTTGCATATGTGTTTTTGTAATTAATTTACCACAGTCCATATGTATTTTACAGTGCTAAATCACTCTCCATCTCATGTTGAATACCTCTTAATCATCGGGTATTATTCCGCTTATACTATGGCCACTTGCCAAATAGCGCCAAATGGAATCAAACAACAACAACAAAAAACCCCCAGCATATGTTCTTTTAGCATATATCTGATTTTGATCTCTGTTTCCGACTTCAAACACCATACAATGCAGTCGTCCGTGCATCGTTCAGACTCTTCCAGATCCTTGTTTTCATGTTTGAATCCAAAATAACAGTTTATTTATTTAGATTTTACAGTTTTTGTTGGTGGCTACACAAATAATTCCAGCTCCAATCTCTTTAGCTGACTACATTTTAACACTGAGACCTTCATTTAAAACATGTCACTGGTATCTTGTTAAACCGTCTGAAAGCTCCCTGTTCCAGCTAATCAGAAAAATGCACTTCCCTGTGTGTTCATATTCATACAGTTACAGTTAACACTATAGTTACTAGTAAGTAACTAATATTGTAACTATTTGTAACTGTAGTTATACTGAATGAGCAAAAAGCCCCACTGTAGTGATTTTTTATTTTTTTATACAGTTTTCTAGTATTTCTTTTTTTTTTTTTTTTCAATCGAGATGTCTTGGAGTAAGAACCTCTTCACAGGACGCATCTAAAACATTCCTTCAAAGTCAAGGTCTGATTCATTTATTAACCATGATGTTTGAAAAACTTTTTGTTTTCCCCTCTCCTCCATTTGAGCTTTCTGACAGCAAACGTGCAAAGTTCAAAGCAGTCTATCAGATCAAAAGTCATCTCTTCCCCCAACAGCAGAGTTTCTTCATCGTGTGCTATGTTCTCTTATATTTCTTGTTTAAATCTGCAAAGAGCTTCTTATCCTTTATCATAAAAGAGGACGCAAAGGTCAAATTACCGTGTGAACACAACGAGTTAAACTCGCATCATTTCATTTTCCGAACTCTTTTTTTCTGAACCATTTGGAGAAAAAAAAATAAATTCTTACCCTCCAGCATGTGTTGCCAAGGTTACCGACCGACCACCAGTCAATTGTGAACATGGGCAACATGCCGGCTCTTACTGATGGAAGAAGACTGTTAAAGTGCAGTCTCTCACAGCACACAGTGGGCTACGGTTCAGTGTGGAAAAACACTCACACACACATATATATACGCCAGAGGAACACTGGACCACCGCTACACCTCACTGCTGTTCAGTGGAGTTGCTGTTTCAATACATCCTCCTTCACTTTCCTCTCCATGAGCCCCAAGGATGCCCGAATGCCAGACTGAGAGCATCCACTAACCAGCTGTGAACCCGCCCTTTGGCCTCCCCTATGGCTGTTTTCCTTATCCCCTAATTACATGTTGGTCCATCATCCGCTGTGCTCTCTCTATCCTACTTTCTCTCCCTGCATCCTCATCCGTGGCCTAAATATGCATTTCACTTGTTTAATCATGTTTACACTGAGCTGTGTTTTAGGTGCAACAGCATAACTATGCATGAAGTCCTCGTTAAGTGGAAAATTATGACTAGGCTGGAGGAGATGTGTTTAATCAGCTCTACTGAGTGATGATGATGTGTTGTGCTGCTGCCATTCTGTGTAGCTCCTTCCTCTGACTGTAGAAAGTGAGGGGCGGGGGAGGGGGGGAAACCAAGAAGTTGTTTTCCATTATACCACCAACCAAGGAGGATTTATATCCAACAATGTGAAGGCTGAAATCACTTGAAATTGAAAAATGGCAAAGTAGTACCTGCAAAACAAAAATCATTTCCCTCAAATGGAAGCAGAAAGAATGGAGGAAAAAGAGAGAAAAGAAAGCAAAAATGAGGCGGAAGATTAAAAATGCTGCCTCGCACGAGAGACGCTTTGCATGAAAGCTGAATGATATTTACTCTGCTGAATTCACCTCAGTCTTTCTGCTCTGAAATACACGAAGCAAACACCATTTATACAAGGGAAGTCTAAATAAAGGCTGTATTAACTGAGACTGGGAAGTTATGGCGAGATTTATTTATTCTTCACTTTTTTATTTCTTTGATGACTAATATTACTCGCGGCGTTTATAATTAGGGAAGAGCTAGAATACCAGCTGGTTCCTCACTGGTCCAGTCCTCGATCTTGATTATTGGATTCTGTTTGTTTTGACCGATAAAAATCATTCTGCGGTTTGTTTTGGCAGATAAAATGTGTTGAAGTGCGTTTTTGCTGCTGCTAGAAGTGCTCTAATGTCTATATCTTTTATATAAAGCAGTAGCTCAAGAGGGCAGCATGGTTGCTCAGTGGTTAACACTAATAACAGTGTGTTGTTGGATTAAATCAGGTAAAAAAAAAAAAAAGAAAAAGAAGGGGAAAAAAAACCTCATTTCAACAAACTGAAGCACCTAGGGGCTTTGTATTTCTACGCACACCCTCGCCACCTTCTGTTTGTTTGTATATGTTTGTTTGTTTCATTGTATGGCATTTCAACGCTTCCCCCAAGCGTTCTGTTTCTACGGTGAGTTTTTTTTCACTCAAGCTTTCTGATGTATTTCAAACCTGTGGAGAACATGCGTAGAAGTGCCCTCATTCACTTATTCATTTTGCAGAAGAAAGTATTGAGAATTCACATCCAGCCCCATGAGTGTAGAGACTGAGCGAGGACATCAGATCTATGTTATTGCACTTAAAGACCCGTTCCACTAATAATGCCTTTTTCATGCTTTTACTTTCGTGAACATCATTCTGCATAGTAAACATCCAATTTAACATTCCCTATGCAGAAGGATGTTTGTGCAAAGGCTTTTGTCTGCTGAATGTGGTGTGATGTGGAAACCTGAAGCCTTCGGTGCACATACATTAAGATTGGAGCCCTTACAAGACATTAGATAGCATTAGCATACTTAGATTACTTATATACTTAGATTATGTATATATGTTTAATGATATATCATAAAAATTTACAAAAACATGTATTTACAAAGCTAATGAATGATGTTTAACACAATAAAATGATGAACTAATGCAGCTCGCACTCCTGTTTTTTCCGTGTATTGAGTGTTTTTGCAGCCTCTAAATCTGAAATGAGGATTCATCTGTTAAATTTATAAATGATCAATACACATCAACTGCCAACAAATACTCACACAGTACCACCTGTTAAGTTTATTCCTCAATAGAAATTCACAGTATGTGTCACCATTTTAGGGGGGAAAAAAAATCCTATACTTTGTATTGTCAATGCTATGGCAGTAGCTTTCAAGTTGCTATGTAATGCAGTTCCCTAAGGGTTTGTTTGTACGTTTTAGCAGTATTGTGAAGTCGCCTGCCAAGGGGACTCGTAGCGGTGTCATTCATTCCATTCAATAACATGGAGGTGCTCATGAAGCAAGCTTTCTGTTTGATCTCCTTGTGGCCTTCAGAGCTGTTCCTTAGAAGTCCGCCAGGTTCTCTAACTGTGGTGTGTGTGCTTCTGTGTGAGGATTCACATTTTACCTGCACTGGTTGGCTGGGAAGTGGTTGTGATGGAGTGCAGGTAGGACACCGTACGTACATCAGTCATCACTAATGCCAAATGTTTGTTTTTCCTGTTTGGTAATACCTTCTGAATGGTTTGTTAACACACTTAGAAACTATTTGTAAGTTATTTAAGTGTATGCAAAAGGTGGATGTAGTCTATGGATCTTAAAGGTGAAGCCAATGAAGTAGCATGTTGGCTTCCAGCAGGGTTGCCCAATGAAGTCAGATTGTAGAGAAGTAATAAGATGATAAATAACCCAACTTCTCCCTTAAACTATTATATTTTAGAAACATTTTCCCAGTGAGTTTATGGTCTCAACCATTTGTTTCAAGACTATTTTAATACAGCATGCTGTTTGTTTTCTAAATTATGGTCTTGTTTCAAGTAAAATAGATGGTAAAGCAGGCTATCCTTTGGCCTTGTGACAGCTCACTGCAGTATTACTCTACATCGTGTCAGATCCGCCCCCCACTCATTACATTTCAAAAGATCTAATGGCCAAATACCAAACTCGTGGCCTCTCAAAGATAGTCCACAAACCAGTGGGTGATGTCATGTTTGCTACATCTAACTTTTATATAAAATTTGTGATGTTTTATAATAGTTTTGAATGCTGGATTCCTAAGGTTGTACTTAAGTAGCCTTCAAAACTCCTTTGCTTGA